GGGAAAACTTGAGCATCCTGGAAGACTGTGCCCTTGACCTTGAATTGGCTTCACTCCAGGTAAGATGTTTGGGTTGGCCAACTTGGGCTGTCATTACAAAATACCACAGACTGAGTGGCTTACAATGAATTTATTTCCTCACAGTTATGGAGGGTGAAGTCTGAGATGTGGGAGCCAGCATGGTCCAGCTCTGGCCTCCTTCCTGGTTGGCAGATGGCTGCCGTCTCATTGTGTCCTCGCCTGTGCCTGTGAATCTGGTGTAATGGGGGCTCCTGGATCCCAGGCTTGGAGATGTCAAACACCAGAGAATTTCCTAGTATAACTTTTTTAGGACTAAAATAGGATTGTCATATTTTTAGCTTGCCAAGTAGGCCTTAAATAAAAAATGTTAATCAGCCTCTCACAATCAGCATCTTTTCATAAAGAAAAGACGCTTTAATGCAAAAAAAAAAAAAAAAAAGGCAGGAAGGGAAAATAATCACAGAATAAAGGACAGGCTCTCAGAACCTCCTATCTTTTGAAACACTTTCCAGACAGACCTTACTCTTTCTTATTTGAATCTATTTGTAAAAACTTCATCATGGAGCCAGGAGGTGTAGCTCAGTGGTAGAGCACTTGTCTGGCACACACAAGGCCCTGGGTTCACTCCCCAGCACTGTAACTCCCACAAACAAACAAACTTCACCATGGCCTAACTCAGAGGCATATGCTAGGGAAGTGGGGGAAGAAAAGGTGAAATATTCAGAATGAAAGACCGAGGTTCAAGTCCTAACTGACCCGTTGGTTCTGTGAGTTACTGGGATCGCTCAGCCTCCGTCTTCTCAATCATAAAATGGGGATGAAAATCCCACCTTTTAGCTGCGACAGCTGTGGGACTGAGGTGAGACTCCATATGGGAAAGAGTCTCACCACATCTAACCTCTGACTCTGGAGCCCAGGGACAGAACACAATCCCAGGGCCACACAAGGCTGCCTGGTGATTTCAGTCCCTTCCTTGCCCGGTAGCATGGAGGCAAGACAGATGGTTCAACTTCAGCTGCTCCGAGTTTGGTTTCTTAGAGATTCCTCTTAGAGGGATGAGTACTCTTTCTCTACCAACAGCATGGTCTGGCAGCCAACAGGATGGAGTCTTGGAGCAGGTCACCTGGTTCTGGGGATCACTGAGGAAAGTCTCTTTTGGAGATGGCATGGATCCAGGCAGGAGTGAACTGGGGGCTGAGAGTCTGGTAACAATGCATGTCCTCCCTTCCTATTGTCCTGCTCTTGACTTGCTGACCTGAACTCTGTAGAGAGCCATCCACAGCTGCCTGTCTTACAGCATTGGCTGCCTGCCTCCCCGGAACTGCGTCTCCAGAGTATTCCTGCAGAAGTGTCCTCAAGAGGTTGCCCAGCACTCCCAGACTCACCCATGTCCTCCTCCTTTTGCTTCTGGTCGCTGAGGCTCAGTTACTTCACAAGGGAGGGAAGGAATGGCCATCTACATCAGCATCTGTGGAGCTGAAGTTCTCTGAAGAAGCCGCATCTGAATGCAGATGCCGCAGACTGCATGACCTTGGCTGAGCAGGACATGTGCGCGTCTAGAGCCCAAATCATCTAGTTCCTTTAATAGCCGTTCACTTCCAGCCTAGGCAGCTGACCTAGCATTTCCAAGGTAAAACTCTTGGAAAGCATTGTTAAGTTTAGCAGATCTTTCATCTTCATCAACCCTAAAACTAAGAATGCCATAGGAGGGCTGGGGTGTAGCTCAGGGGTAGAGCACTTGCCTAGCATGTTCAAGGCTGAGTTCCATCACCAGCACTGCAAAAAGAAAACAAAAATTGAAAAAGTGTTGTAAAATAACATCTGAAACCTATAGGAAAAAATGGCCCCTGCTTTGCCATAGCCTGATTACCAATGTCCCCACCACAGCATTTACTGAATGTACTGATTTATGCATTTGCTTGTTCTGTGGCTATAAAAGTCCATGAAACCTCTTCCATGACAGAACACATCCCAGGCCACAGTCACTCATGTTTGACTCAGAATAAAATTATTTTCTTATTTCCTCTAAGGCAGACCTGTTACTTTTATGTTGACACATCAAATCCAGCTAAATCCCAGTCCAGCCCCTCCAAAAAGACCAGTGGCTTTTGTTTTATTTCCCTAGTGCAGAGGCATATATATGTTGCATGTCCCATATCTTAACAAAGGTGGATCGTGAGTTATGGTTTGTCTCAGCTAGAACTGATGGTCTGTCACCCCTCCAGGGTTCTTTCTAGGACTGGAGACCGTTGAGAGCTAACCTCCTGGGCCTCACTTCCCTTTGCATTCAGCTGGTCCTCCCACAACAGGCCAGGAGCCGTGTTAAAAGGAGGCGAGGCAGCAGCACTTGGGGGAGGCAGAGCTGGACCCTCCCTCTTTACTGAGTCCTTCTCCTGCCTCCTTGGTGATGGATCCTGCCCTTACTCTGTCTTCTCCTTCTGCCTCTGCCCTTTGAGTTTGGAGGGGTCCTGCAAGTTCCCCCTTTTCAGCTCCTGGATTTTTATGTCCTTCTTGGAACTTGGCGTTTGGCTCTAACCCACTCCTTGCAGGGCGCCCACCAGCCTGGAGACTCTCTGCTCCTCCTCTGGAGACAGGCAACACTTGAGCAAGTGGCGCTTGTTCAGGTCCATCCCTGTGGGGATGTGATGGCTGGACCAATGACCTGAACCCATAAAGAGGCCTTGAGGGCCCAAGAGGCTCTGGCCTGGGAACAGGAAGTGGTCTCACTTGCATTCACACCCCTTTCCTGACTGGAATCTCCCACACTTTCCCACACACCCCTGGTTTATTCTTCCCCATATCTCTTGTTTTTTTCCCTCTCTTCCTGGGTTCTCCCCGTTATGTTCCCTTCCTTGTATCCAACGTAAGCACCCCACCCTGAGAACTCGGAGTCTTCCCTGCCCACCCTCTCCTTCCCTGCTCCCTCCACCTGTGTTTCTCCCACCACGTCTTTGGCCCCATAGTTCTGTCTCTCTCTCTTCCAGGGAAGTCCACCACTCTCCTGAGGTACTCTCTTTCTAAAACAAGCATGGTCCCCATCCATGGAAAGAGCTGTGGAAGCCAAAGGGAAGGTGGGGCTCCTGGCTAGACTTCACGTCAGCACTGGAACTTGGACTCATCACAGGGCCCCACCTCATCTTCACCTTACTAGGGTGACAGCTGTCAAGTCCTGTCACCACAGTTAAAGTTTAGTAAGCACTCGTGCCAGGAGAACTCGTACCAGAGCCCTCAAAATGCACTGAAACCTCATGCTGCGTCCAATTGAGCCTGGAATGTAGAGGAGGTTCAGAACATGGAAACTGGCAATCCAGTTCCCAGAGTGAGAAAGCTGGACGAGGACCAGGCAGGGCCTTGGTTGGAGGGCAGACTGAACAACATATTAAAGGCAGCATATAGGAACAGGACTCTTCAGGAAACTCTCCCCACAGCAAAGTCCAATGGATACAATGTGGCCTTTGAAAGCAGCCACACTGGGGTTCCAAACTCTTGTGCTACTTCTTATGAGAGTGTGGTGTTGGACTGGTTATTTAACCTCTGGAACTTAAGTATCCTCATTGATAAAATGGGGATGGTAATGGTCGGGTCATTGTAAAATAAAATGAGATCTGGTGGAGATGGATCTCAGTGCGGTACCTGGACACACATGGCAGATGCCTAATAAAATGTTAGTTCTTGGCTTGGAAACTGGAGCTTAATATGCCACTGCTATCTGGTGGTAGAATTTGGAATTGCAAGCAAATACTCCCAAAGGAATAAAACAGGTATAAAGATGGATATAAATTGGAAAGATTAAATAAAAAAGATAAGGATGGGGGGAGACATTCTATGCAAGGGGAATATGATTTAAAAAAACACAGAGATTGGAACTATTATGCTGAATTTCATATTGGGGTGTACAGTAAGGAGACAAGAGATTTGGTGTTCCTCATCTCGTAATAAACACTGCTCAAGCAGTCAATGTACAGGGACACTGCTTAACCCATGGCCTTGTATGACACTACCCCCACACCCAGGCTTTAGAAATCTATAGGTCTTCTGACCCTACATCTAGTTCCACATAGAAAGTGCTTTTCTGGGGTTGTCCAATGCTACAGCAATTCTAGCTCTGGTGGCCAAGCCCTCCACTGGGAGAAGGTCCTGATGTGATGGTCTGTGTGTTCAGCAGGTGTGGGATGGCCATGTATGTAACTCCAGACCTGATAACTGAATAAACACATGCAGACACTCCTGTCTTTACTGGCTATAGGATGGTCACCAACACAGCTCCATGGAAACCCAGTGGTCACCGGGAAAAGTTTAGGGTGTACACAGTGGATACCACCTGTAACTTCAGACAGAATCATGAAATCACCCTTCTTGGGGGTCTGGTCCATGGGATTTGACTAATACAGCTATGGGGTGTTTCTGGGCTCTGCAGCCATCTCTAGGTAAAAGATGGTGTGAACCATGTACCATTCACGCAGGTCCCTTTGCACTATTCTCTGCTTTACTATTTCTGGGGCAGGGGGAGGCTCAGGCATGGCTGGAGTGGATGTTTTTCTGGAGTCTTCTCCCTTCCTTTACTGAATTCCTGTGCCAACTGGCTAGTGGAGGGGAGGGTGCTCTCTGGGCCCTAAAGAGTGCTTGCTGTGTGGTGCGCAGTGATCCTAACTGGAACTGAATCAATGTCCTGTGTTCTGAAGACTGAGATCATGAGCTTAGAGGAAAATGTTAACTAGATACCTTTGCACGTGCAAGGGTTCACGCACATGTGCACGCACACAAAGAATGCTGGGATGCCGCAGAACAATGCACTGAGCTAAATAAAGTAGCATTATCTTAATGAGGGCAGAGCTGGCGGGTGCTGGGCACGGCAGAGAACCAGGGACAGCCGGAAGGACGTGGCAACCTCCTTGCTCCTCCTGTGAGGTCCAGCCCCTTTCTCTTATCTTCTTTACCACAGAAGGACAGTCCTCTCAGCTCTGTGACAGAAGCCCCAGGCTTCAGAGAGCTCTCTCCTGCACAGACACTTCAGACTCTTCAGTGATGCCCTTTTTGGTGCTCTGAAGAGGTGACCACGTGGGCTGCCAGCTGTCCTTGGTCACATTAAAGCCAAACCAAGCCTGGAGTAATCAAGGCCATGGGAGTTGAATTCTCACTTAATGTGTCACGGCCTGACAAAAGTCCTGGTGAAGGCACTTTTGGGACCTCTGTAGGTCACTTTCAAAGGATCTTGTCAAGCGGGAGCCCCTTCTGAACTCAACTGCTGTTTGGCCTTAAAGAGCCAAGAACTACAGGTTTGTGGGGATTTTTTGTTGTGGTGGTGGTGGTAAAATTCTACATCACATAATATTTACCAATGTGTAGTCATCACCACTGTCCATTTCCAGAGCAATTTTAACTTCCAAAATTGAAGATCTATACCATTAAATACTAATTCCCCATTCCTGTGTGGGCTGTGGGGTGTTTCTGGTCCCAGCCCCTGGCGACCACCATTCTGCTCTCTGCGTCTGCGACTTTGCCTATTCTAGGTGCCACATTAAGCAGAGTCATGCAATACTAGTAGTTTTGTGATGATTGGCTTATTTTACTTAGCATAACATTTTCAAGTATCATCCATGTTGTAGCATGTATTAGAATTTCATTACTGTTTTAGTCAGCTATTTTGCTGCTATGACTAAAAGATCTGACCTGAACAATTTTAGGGGAGAAAAATTTTATTTGAGGGATCATGGTTTCAGAGGTCTTAGTCCAAGAATGCTGGCTCCATTCTTCGGGGCTCAAGGTGAGGCAGAGGGAAGGGGCTCACATGATGATCAGGAAACAGAGAGATTTCACTCTCCAGATACAAAATATACACCCCAAAGCCACACCCTCAATGAACCACTTCCTCCAGCCACACCTCACTTGCCTCCAGCTACCACTCAGTTAATCCCATCAGGGATTAATTCACTAGGTTAAGGCTCTAACCCAATCATTTCTCCTCCAAACCTCGTGTTGTCACAGTGAGCTTTTGGGGGACACCACATCTAAACCATAACAATTACTTACTAAAGCCAAATAGAATCCTGTTGCATGTATGGGCCACATTTTGTTTATCCATTCTTCTATTCAGAGACATTTGGTTTGCTTCCATCTTTTGGCCATGAGAATAATGCTGCTATGAACGTGAGTGTATAACTATCTGTTCGAGTGCTTGCTTTTATGTGGTGTGGGTATAAATGGATTGCTGGATCTTATGGTAATTCTGTGCTTAACTCTCTGAGGAGCTCAGACCCTGTTTTCCATAGAGGTGGCACCAATGTCCACTTCCACCAGCAGAGCACAAGTTCCAATTTCTTCACATCCTCACCAATATTTATTTATTTTCTTTTTTGTTTTATAATAGCCATCCTAATGAGTGTGCCATTTGTAGGATTTTGTCCTTTCCTTTTTCCCTCTTTGTGTCTCAAGTTTGAGGAGAAGGATCAATGCAGATGGCTTGAGTCCTGATGATCTGGAGACCTTGACAGCATAAGAAGCATCCCCAAGGGAAGAATTGTCCTCCTCTAATGTAGAATTTCTCAGCTGTGGCCCTACTGACATTTCAACTGGATAGTTCTTTCTTGTACTGTGCATTATAGGATGGTTCCCAGCTTCCCTGGGCTCTACCTGCTATATGTCATTAGTATCCCCTTCCTAGTCACACAGCCAAAGATGTCTCCAGACATTGCCAAATGTGCCTTGGGGTATAAAACAGTGCCCCGTGAAAAACCACTATCCTAAGTCATGGCTAGCCAGAGTCAACCTGACACATAAGATGGGGAGGAGAGGCTGCCTGAGTTACTGGGAGCTAAGCCTTATGAGGTCCAGTTTCAACTTACCTCAGTTTAGTTATTTATGTTTTCCTTGTCACTTAGTTGAGCTCACACTGAGCTCTTTTGTTGTCACACTATAGAAAACTGGAGTGTTTGTGCTGTGCCACTAGGGGACACTGTTGATCAAGAAAGGCTAAAGGGGTGTGTGTGTGTGTGTGTGTGTGTGTGTGTGTGTGTTTAGCAGACTTGAGGGGGTGTCAATTGCTGCTCCAAAGACTCAGTACCTAAAAACACCAGGTCCCCCAGCGCCTGCCCACCACACTCATGAGGGCACCATATCCATTTAGGAGACTGATTGGCTTCCTTTCTACACACTCATTTCATGTTATGGATTGTCTTTCTGTGACATCTGCTTCCTTCAAGATTGATTTCAAAGACCACCAGAAAATTTAACCAATCGGAATAAAAATGATCCATCTAAAATACCTCAAAAGAATTTGCCTCCACCTCCCTGAGCCTAGTGATGCTCCTAGATACCTCGCCATGGCTGCTCGGTCCTGATTCAGAATGTGGCAGCCCCCAGATGCTCTGTGTCCACACTCACTCATGCTGCCCAAGCTCCTTTGGCACTCAGAGTCCATTCCCACCCCTTTCTGGAATCCCCTTAATTGTGCAAGGAGGAGAAGCCCCAAACTGCTTTCCTATACTTCCTTAGAGCCAGTGTTCTAGATGCAGTTTAGATAGATTGTGTGGATGAGCTAAATTTGCATGCAGAGCACAGAAGCAGACAGAAGCCATCTTCCTGCATTGCAGCAGAGGGAAGCAAAGTGGGTGAGAGGAAAATCTCTGCCGTGGCTCAACTCTGCATCCCATAGTCTATCTGGTCCTTACTTCGGAGGTGTGAGGGAGTTGTGTGCACCATTAATAATAACAGCTTTCCAACCTACGGGTCAAGCTAGAGTAATTTGGTGTTGAAACCAAGAGTCTAGAGATGACCCCGCATGTGTGCCCATCCAGTGATTGCAGGAGCGCCTGATTCTCTATAATCAGCCCCTTTCAGCTAAAGTGGTTCTGGTTCCTGTGTTGGACCCTGGCTGACACCAGTGCACGTGCAACTCACATCACACACACACACCTTCTCGCCTGGCCCAGTGTATTTTTGCCCACCGTCCTCACTGTTTATTTAAATCTGGGAAGTTCTTATTGACCATCTACTGAATGACAGAACATGTTAAGTGCTGTCGGGTGTTGCCATTCAAAGGACCCTTCTATTGATCTTGTCTTAGGAAAACAGACTCTGAAGTTCAGGAACCAACACCCACAGAACAATACAAAGTCAATAAATGGATAGTTGCTAAGTGGTACAGCGTCAGACACCACTGTGGGCCCTAGGCCGCCGTAAGGGGTGTGGTCAATGGAGTTGCTTCATTTGGATAAGGTTGAACTAGACATGAAGGCTAGGTCAAGCCTGGGTGAATGAGGAGAAAGGGGATGGTGGGCAGGTATGAAGAAAGATGGGCAAGGAGTGATATCAGTATGTGTCAAAATCCTGAATTGATGTCCTTACTGTACCTCCTCTTCTAGGGGAGTCAGTGGTTTGACCTCTAAAAGCCTAAGATGTCTCATTTGAACAACATGAAAACCCTGCAAGGTTGTTGTGCGCATTAAATGAGATTAAAAATCTACCACATACTCTCTCTCTCTCTCTCTCTCTCTCTCTCTCTCTCTCTCTCTCTCTGATATTTTGGGGGGGAAGATATTGGTTCTCTAGATAACACATAATATGCATAATGAAGACCAGGTCTTCTCTGTTTGCCCCTCCAGATCCAGGGCCTCAGGACAGCACTTCCCTGTCCTGCCCTGACACTAGAACCTGACTGAGAGGGACATGGACAGCACCTGCAATACTTGTGCCCTCTCACTTCTGGTTGGGTTCAGCCCATGGAGGCTTCCACGGGAGAGTGGAGAGTGAGGAAGGAGAGGTCGGGGTGTTCCATCAGCTCCCTCTGTTTCTGCCACTGTCCATTCTCCCACTGAAGGCCACAACCTCTGGCCAGCAGCCATCTCTCTTCTAGTGCTTGATCTCCATCCTGGTTGCCATGACCACTTCAGGTCTGGGACAGTAGGGTCTCCCCAGTGCCAGCTCCCCTAGAGCCTCCCTTGCTGGTGTCCCTCTACTTTGCACATATCACTGGGTGTCGTCCTTTTAAAGAACCTTCTTTGAATACCCCCTTGGCTGTGCCATCTGTTTCCTGCCACAATTCTGATTGATAGAGAATGGCAGCTGCTATCTTCAAGTCACTTCTCTGGGAAGAACCTGTAATCATTTCTTGTTGTTTAATAATGCCAAGTCCAAAGTCATGTCAGTAGCATATGAAAAATGCAGTCAAGAAAGTTAATGGGGATTAGGTGATTAATGGGGATTAGGTGATTAATGACTGATCTTGCTATTGCCCCCAGCCACCAGGTGCACAAAGGAGAGGTGAAGCCTGCTGAGATTGGACATGGGGACCTCAGGAGTGACCCATAGGGAGTCTTCCATTGGTGTCATTCAATCATCTACTTGAAGCCAGGTAATTCAGAACACTCCTCTGCCCCTTTCTTTCTTTTCACGTCCTTTCTTCCATGTCAATGCTCCCCTCTTCCTTTTCCCTCCTGAAAGCCAAGGGAACCATGGAAGGGGGAGGGCCGACCTTGTGTGGAAAGTAGACATAGTGAAATATTGGAAAATTTCTTAGTCATTAAAGCCCAGAGGTTCACTGAGCAGCTAACCTACCAGATGAAGTCAGCACAGACAGATGACTCACGTCGACAACAGGGAGCCAGCGTCAAAGGGGAGAAGGACGGAGAGAGGGGCCAGTCCCAGAGAGGCTGTGTGGTCCAGTTCTGGTTCAGTACCTGCCTGGCTTTAGTGCACTCTCCCTCTTTCCTGCAAGGTGAAGGTCAGCAACTAAGACTCCATTTTTAGAACAAATGACAACAACTTTTGCAAACATAGGTATTCCATGTGTACGGAAGCTTAAAATGATTTTTAAAAAGTATTATTAATAGTGACATCACAGAGAAAAGTACTAGTCCAATTAGTTTTTGAATAAGAAATTACAGCCAAGGATGGTGGTGAAGGGCACATTAGACATGAATATGATATATCTGGTCTCATCCTATCTCCTTCCAATAGCTTTACTGTGGCTATGGGACTTGCCAACAGTCTTTGTTAGAACAAGCTGAAACCTCACTTCTTCCCAGAATTCATTTCCTTTTCTTTGACCAGATGTGCTTACAGCCCTTTATTTTGCATTCATGTCTATGCAGGAATGAATGAAGCACTCCAGGTTGTAGACGTTACTCCTCCACAAATTTGCCTAAGGACTAAAACCATGTCTTTTTTTTTTCTTTTTCTTTTTTTGGTACCAGGAATTGAACTAAGAGACACTCAACCACTGAGCCACATCCCCAGCCCTGTTCTTTATTTATTTAGAGATAAGGTCTGACTGAGTTGCTTAGTGCCTTGCTTTTGCTGAGGTTGGCTTTGAACTCATGATCCTCCTGCCTCAGCCTCCAGAGCTGCTGGGATTATAGGCATGCGACACCGTCCCCAACTCCATGTCTTTTATTTAAATAATTTTCAATAATGCTAAGCTAAAGGCTTTATAATTTTACATATGAGCAAAGCTTTAGAAAAAGATCTCAGAAACAGCCTGGCCCCAAACACCTCCATTTCCAAATGAAAGAAACAGACACAATCACTTTAACTATAAAACTTGCACTGGAATCCAGGTAATCTGGTATCCAATTTTGTAATCTTCCGTGGGACTATAAAGCCCTCTGATAGTTTGAAAGCTGGCTGGTCCTGAGGTATTTGTACCTTCATATTAGCTCAGACAGTAAGAGATGATATGGGTGGCTCTTGGAAGGAATGAATATCTTGAGCTAGTCTTCTCTGAAGATTCTGGAATATGATGGGCCAAGTCAGGAAACCAATCCACATAACTCTATGAAGACATTTCCCTTTGGTGTCTGGAGTGCAAGTATAGAAGGTCTGGGATGTCACCTCCCTGAACCCAGCTCCTTTTACTCCCAAGCTATGAAAGGATCCAAGCTCCATACTGTGGCTGACCCTTAAGAGCAGGCATTATCCACCTATTCCTGCACTGCTAACCCCTGAGATTGAGGATGTCCTGCTTAAAGTCAACATTAAGATCCACTGTTTGACGTGGGGTGAACTTCTCTCCTCTCTCTGTGGCTGCCTGTTAACGAGTGCCTCACACATTTGACTTTGACTTTATTGCCATTTCTGTTGAGGTTTATCATTTCCTAATCAGGAAAAAATTCCTCAAGAAAACGGCAGTTTCTTCTAGACTCACAACTACTTAGCTCCTGGGTACTTTCTCTGGTCCATTCAGATTGGAGCAGCAAATCACAGACTTTAAACACAGGTTGTGTTCTGCTCATTCAACAAGTGTCTACTCATTGTTTACCATATGCCAGCCCTGCAAAAGTCACAGGGGATACAGTCAGAATGACACCATCTCTGCCATCAAGGAGCTTAGAATCCAGTAGGGAAGAGAGGCCTACACTATAGTGTGATGAATGACAGGGCCAGCACTATGGAAGGCAAGGGGGGCATCAGGAGGGCAGGGGTCCCATCTTGGGATGGGTGTACTATTGTAGTCAGACTGCCTAGGCATTTCTTGAGAAAATAATATCAAGGCAGAAACTGGGAAGATGAGTAGGAGTTAAGCAGGTGAAGTTGTGCCGCAGTCTGGCTGGGCACAAAATCACGAGCCACTCACAGCCTTGTAGATTCAAACAGCAATTCTTTATTCCTGAACTCACACCGGCACTCTACAAACACGTTCTGGGCCAATCCACACCTCCACTGGGCTCTGTATCCCAAAATACTCTCTGAATCCTGCGAGAACTCAACGGGAACTCAAGGAGCGGGTGCGCCTGAGGCAGCAGGATACGTCCTATTCCCAGCAGGGTCCACCTTAAACCTGGATCCGCCCTAAACCCAAGGAGCGGGATACTCCCTATTCCCAGCAGGATACACCCTAAACCTGGATCCGCCCTGGTCCTTGAGCAAGGTCACCTTTCATGCAAAGTCACTGCAAATGATCTGGGTCCACAATGGAGAGTCCTTCCTCTAAGCAACATGGGGTAGGCTGATGAAGAAATTGCCATGCGACATTCCTACTTGGCAATGGCTCTCAGCAAAGTTGGAGGTGAGTGGTGAAGAAAGTGGTCCAGGCAGGAGAAGCTGCATCACACACTTTTGGAGACCTTCCTGTGTATTATGTTTCAAGCCAAATCACTTCTGTGATATTGGATTCCCAGCCTGCCATAGAGTATCATATGGGGATAGGGAAGAGGTTTGTGGTGTGGAAGAGGAGGCATTTGAGGTGCGTGCCACAGAGTGGGCAAGCTGCCTATCCATCTGACAATGAGGAAGAGGCACATACTCTTCTGGATGTTCATATCTGTTCTGATTCTTATCTGTTGGCTGCCCTTAGGCAGATTATGTTTTATCTAAAGTTGATAAAGTATGAAGTTCAAGGGTAAAAGTTTTATAGTTAAGATGATTCTTATCTGTTCTGATTCTTATCTGTTGGCTGACCTTAGGCAGATTATGTATCATCTAAAGTTGATAAAGTATGAAGTTCAAGGGTAAAAGGGAAAAAAAAAGAGCCAGAGTGAGACAAACAAGGTGAGTGCATGCATGATCTTGAAAACCACCTGCAGCAAACTAAATTTTGTCAACAACCATGGGGGAAACCAATGGTATGCCAACAGGGATGTGGTGTAATGTTAGCAGAGTCCCAGGTGAGAGGTCATATAAAGGTAACAGCCATAATAATCTTGGTGGTCCCTGACTGACTGGAAGGAAATTTTTCCTCATGGTGGAGGTGAGTGGAGACAACAGAGCCATCTTAGAATCCAGGTTTACAATATTAGGTAGTTTTGAGATCATCCAAGAACAGTAACTGTTCTAGGAATTTTTCCAAGGACAAAAGGCAAATAGAGCTTCAGGCACAAAGATATTTATCAAAACATTATTTACCTACACATATTCAAATTTTGGAAAAAGAAGAGGAGGATTAAATCAATTATATTATACCCCTAAGTGAAATATCAAGGAGCCATTGATATAAAGTCACAGGGATTCTTTTAAAGACAAGGGAAGATGTTTATGTCGCAAGTGAAAAAGGCAAGTTCTTACTTATAACAAGAGCTTTTATGCTTGTGTGTATATATGTGAATTACACTCTAATTCTTATTTCCCTTTTTTTAATATTTGTAATTTTGACAATGAACATACATTTCTTTTATCATTGAAAATGTTATTTGTAATGCAAAATATTTTGATGACAGTGACCAGCCATGAACCCTTCCACAATCACTCAGAGAGTTTCAGATTTCATTCATGGATTGAAGAAGGGTTATTCAGTAAATATGCCAATATGGTGTTAACTGCTGTCTCCCTTCTGATTGGCCTATGCTATAACATAATGGTGGCTAAATATTTTAAACATCATCCCTGGAAAATTTGTATCACCAGAAGCTTCATTTCCAAATAGGCATCTTTCTTGAAATGCTTGTGTAGTTTCTGTGGAAAAGTCATGGATTTTAATGCTGGCCCTGATTATTACTCTTGGGCAGATTATTTAATCTTTCCAAGACTCATCTATAAAATGAGAATAAGAAATGCCTAACCCAGAACCTATGCAAGGTGCTTGTGAGAATAAAGCAGGAAATCAAAGCCTCTGTCCCTCACAAGCACTCAATGGCCTCTTCTTTAAGTGTTTCAGAGGCGCCATGTTCCTGGTTGATGGCTAGTCTTGTAGTAATAAAATTTCCAAGCAGACCTTGGCTTAACATTGAATTCACAAAGTACCCGTTAAGTTTCTGTACCCTTCCAGCTATCAAAAATCTGGTGAATATTTCTCCAAGAATTGCTGGTTTCACTGTTGTTTTCCATGGTTCTCCTGAACTGGGCCATTGTTGACATGGGACATTCTTCAGCTGACCTCACTCTGCTACAGAAATTTCCACCAGTGCTCACTATCACCACTTCTACAGCATGGATGTCTCAGGTTGTTTCTGATGGGGCATGGGCAACACCTAGATATCTATGAAAGCAGAACTTTCCTGGGATTTTTCCACTAAAGTGGAACTGAAGATAAATCTTGGTTCTCTTTCAGCCAGAGAAAGTTTTTCTGTTAGGGCTTAATATTGCAGGAGGGAGCATGTACATAAAGTGGTGTAATGACCGAATCCATTAAAACTGAGAATTCCATAGCTCACTAATGATCTGGCTCGAATTTCCCAAGATCTTGTATTGCACATAACATCGGTTTTTCAGTTAGAGCTCTTTTATGTGTGTGTGCAAGGGCAACTTATATTGATATATTCATTTGAAGAAAAAAGACAGCAAACACTTCAAAATGCATCTTATGTTAATTTAAAGAATCAGAATGTGCACTTTAACACTATTCTATTACAACTAGAGCAAAGGTTGGCTGGTATTTTCCATAGTGGCTAGAGATAGTCATCTGATGAGGTTTTCTACTAT